GTCAGTTCAAGGGAAGAGCAGAACTTTCTTTACATTAGACTTTGAAGACTAAAAATTTCCCTTTCTCCCTTCTTGCCCTTTAACTCCCGGTGGGCAGGGTATGAATCTTCTCAACAAGATCACGAACTGCTGACATCTTTTTCCTCTGTAAGGCTGATCCCTCCGCCCCACCCTCTGTGGTGGGGTCTCAGGAGGGCAAAGCTGGGCTCTCCTGCTCTGCTCAGGGAGGCAGCCTTCCGACAGGGGGTCCTCCTGGCAGGCCTGGCCCCACTCCGCCAGTCCCTGAGCCTCTGACCAGGATGAGTTCCTTCAAGGTTGCACTTCAGGCAAAAGTGATAGACTCAGGGTGCTTTTCTCTAAGCAAAACCATGTCCTGCAGGGTTTGTCCTGATACCAGCGCTCAGTGGATGCACACAGCCCTACGAATTCCACTGGAAGAGGAACATCACAGACCTCCAGCATCCCCGGGACTCTGCCCCCACCCACCACAGCTTCACTCTAAAAGCCAGAACTTCTTACCTGAAAGAGACACTGGTTCAAAAGCAGGGCAACCGCCAGCATTCTGCTTAAAAGCTAGTGATTAAGAAGTGAAACCAAACTGGTACAGAAAGACAAATGTGATTGATCATCTGAGATATCTCTGCACCCTTCCTTCGGCCACTCTTGGGCATACAGCGTCCACTACACACCCCTTCCAACAAGGCCTCCTGTGCTTTCTCCAGTGAAACTGAGCCTAAACAGGGACATCCAGGGGCAGAAAATAAATGAAATATGGAATCCATAAAAGTTTAAAAGGAATAGAATAAAAAGTGACTTGCTTTGGAAGGCTAAGGGACTGGGGGAAGGGAACTGACTGCCCAAGATATAATGATAATTCTCTCCTAACTTACACATTCCTGCGTACTTAGAAGAGACCAATATGTGCATGACGTTGTTAAACAGGCCATTTTAACTCTTCCAGGAGAGCATGTGATGACTGTGTGAGCCTGTCTGTCCTCGGCACTGTGCTAGGCACTTCCATGAGAGTGACCTTGGCGGGAGTCAGGCAACAGCCACTGAGTGACAGCATGGGGTCTGAGAAGCAACCTTCACTCTAGAACACCCTTTATGTGCTGAAAGACAGGAAAGACCCTACA